CGGGACGGGGGCGAGCGGGGGCGGCGGCCCGATTAACCCGGCCTCGCTTCCACCCGGCGACCCCCAGCTCATCGCCCTCATCGTGGAGCAGCTCAAGAGCCGGGGCCTGTTTGACAGCTTCCGCCGGGACTGCCTGGCCGACGTGGACACCAAGGTGACCGAGGCCGCCGGGGCGGTGGGGGCCGGGCTGGGCGTGCAGCCGCCCGGGCGGTGCCTTGATCGCGGAGAGTGAAACAAAAGGTAGCGTAAGCACCCGCAGTGACCCTTTAGGCCGCCTGGGGCAGCACGGTGCCGAGAGGTTTGGGAGAGATGAGCTTGTGGGTTCTCTGCCCTTCGAGTGTTAGCTGTGGTTTTAACCCAGTAGCTTCTCAAAACTTTAGGGTTCAGCACGGATTTTAGAGCCTACACCCCAGCTTTCCCAAAAGGGAACTCCGTTAAGCCCCTTAAAAAAAAAACAAAAAACCTGTAAATTAAGAACAATGGGGTAATGCTGGTCATGATGGCGCACACCTGTAATCTCAGCAGGGGGGAGGCTGAAGCAGGAAGATCACTGAGAGTTTGGGGCCAGCCGGAACTACAGAGGGACACCCTGCCTCAAAAAGCTAAACCTTGGAGAAAGGCAGATAGGCGCATAAGAATGCTTTAGAGTTTTCACTCATTCTTTGTTCACCACAAAGGACTTGACATTAAATACACAATGGTTTGGATGCAGTCATCGACATATTACATAATAGTTATTTGTCCCTTTCTTTCCAGCCCAGTGATTTGCAGCTTGTATGAAGTTAAGTTGTAGAACCTGCACCCATATTTTGTATCCCATAACTAATGAAAAGAGAATTGATGCTTTTTTTATCTTAATGTTATAAGCCCCCCACACACACACATACACTCACACACCCCAAGTAAAATGCTGTTTACTTACCTTCCAGCATTGTTTGGATTTAATAAAAACTTGTGTGGTTAGCGTCAGATATATACAGTAGTAGTAACTAGAACGTTCACTTTCTCTCTTTTCAAAATTCCTCCAACAAGACCAAGGTTGTAGGGTTCCAAAGCTCTGTGACTAACTGGGCTTCTCCAGGACAGTAATTTCTCTTCTCTGACCCTGCAGTGAAAAGCTTTTGCCTGCCTGATAGCAAGATTGTGAGCTTAAAATTAGACTGTACAGGTAAGGAAAGACTGATTCTGTTTATTCACTAAATGTTTATTGACCTGTAATATGCTGGGAGCCCATCCCTGTGGCTTCAAGGATAGAAAAACTTACATATAAACCAACTATTTTATATGTAGTAAGTAATGTAGTTTATTAGACTCCTCCAAGATGAAAGTCCAAGTAGAAGTGCTCGCTTAAAAACAAGGTTATAATTTGGTTTTTTTTTTTTTTTTTTCCGGTACTGGGAATCGAATTCATGACCTCACGTTTGCCAGGCAGGCACTGTGCCTCTGAGCTAAATCCCCAGCCCCTATAATTTGTTTTTATGTAGAAAGACACTGACAGAGCTTTCCACCTTTCCCAGTACTGGATGTTCTCAGCTTTCCATCGGAAGATCTTCACTCATGCCATAAAAGTTCACATGTGATGTTTAAAAAGAAACAAGGATTATTGGTGGGAGCTGTTGAGGCATCCCCGACTTACGCCACCTTAGCTGTTTCTTCTGAGCCACCAGGGTGCTTCATCCTGTTGCTTCAGTCCAGTGGTTTGCCAAGTGTGGTCTTTTAAGTAGCAACATCAGTGTCACCCCTGAACTTACTGGAAATGCAGATTCTTGAACCCCACCACGGAGTGCTACAGTATTTGGAAGAAAGAAAACAGTCAATACCTGTAATTTCCTTTGCAGTACATCCAAAATATGAACAGAACAAGCTGATAGGTGAACAGAGGAGGTTAGGTAGTACAGTAAAATGTTAATAGGCCCGCTGAATCTTTTGAATTCCTAAGTGGAGGGATTAGTCTGTATTATTCGAGTTTGTTAAGGTTTGGTGAGGACAGTCCCTGTCCTTTGTAAACAGTTTTTGTTCTTTCAAACCAGGTGAGTTATTTTGAGAGAATGTAGTATTAGGGTTCAGGCTCGCAAGTGACAAATCTAACTCCTTTGAGCAAGGAGGAATTAAATGAACAAACTATGCCAGAAGGGAAGAGATACATTTGGAACCAGGGATTTTCTACTGGCACTGTCTCATCTTTGTTCTTTATTTTACTGTCCCTCAGTGACACTATTCGTTTTCTTACTAATACCCCTTGATTACATCCTGCAGCTTCTTCCTCTAGAGGAAGACTTCTCCTTCTGCTTCAGGAAATCCTAGAGAATTATCTGCATTGTCGTAGCAGGACGCAGCACCCAGTACCCTTGTGAAGAGGAGAAGATGGTTCAGGAAAAAGAACTGCTAGGCAGATAGAGTACGTGGGAATTTGTGAATTATATTCCCCCTCCCTCATCTCCTGCCATCTGCTTTCTGGGTATAGTGAAGAATCCTTGTGTGTTTGCTCTTCTGGCCTTTTGGAAGAGTCACTTGAGGTCCCCTGGTTCCTCTCTCAATTTCATTTCCCTAATCGTTAGCAAACTTGGCCACAGTTATGTTACATTACAGACCACGTCTTGGTTTATACAAGCATCTCTTCTTCTCCTACTAGGGATACAGGTCAACCAAATTGAGCTGCTCTAGGTAGGCTTCAGCCAGATAGCTGGGCTGCAGAGCCAGGGCCAAGGCTGTAGGTTGGGGTTAGGCTTCTTGCACATGTATCCACCTTAGGCCCCAGGCCATAGGAGCAGACTGTGATGCACATGACACGCCCTATCATAGGGTCACCAGAACACAAGAGCCAGACAAGAAGCATAACTACATCTAAAGCCTCTGGTCTCCAGCGTTCCACTGTCCAGGGCTTCCCATTGCTAAACTGCATCAGTGGAGTGAAGAAGTATTCTTTACCTGAAATGGAGGGATAAAGCAGCACATACTCTTGGAGGCCCAGACCATGGATTCCGTGGGTTTATTGAGTCACTTTCTAACTTTGCTCTCCTGATCGTGGTTGGGTCTAGAACATTTGAGACTAATAAGTGCCTCATGAGCTCTGTTATAGATTCACACGTTGTTTTCCCTTTGATTCCGTTCTTTGGACTTTGACACTAGTCTGTATTCTGGAATCACACTGAGGTTTGGGTGCTCCTTCAGTGTATGCAGGGAACTTGGTTGAGCTTGTTACTGAGAACATCCCTATGAGGTAAGTGGGGCAGGAGCATTTCAGTTTTACAGATGGAAACTTGGCGGTTGGGTGATTTGTTGAAAGTCACGCAGTAAGTAAGTAGTGAAGCCAGGCCTAGAACCCAGGTGCTGTCATATAGAAACAGCCTGGGTCTAACCTTGGCTTGGCCACATTTCAGCCATATGAGCAGGTTTTTTCTCTTTCTAAGCCTAAAAATGTAGTCTCTAAAATGGGGGAGGAGAATGCAAATAGGACCTTCCGCAAACAGTTACTGGAAAAGCAAATGGGCTCATACAGGTGAAACATACTGCATTGTACCACCTACCAGAAGGCAGGTACTTATGGCGGCCACTGACTCGTGGCTGCACTGCAGCATGGGGGTGAAAGTACCTGTGGTCTAGATAGCTAAGTTGAAAAACTTGGCTGCATATAACAGCTGACATTGTCTCTGTTTAATATTTTAGCCAGCTTACCAAAACCTGAGGCAGAAAGTGGATAATTTTGTGTCAACTCATCTGGACAAGCAGGAATGGAATCCTACAATGAACAAGAACCAGTTGCGAAACGGTCTGAGACAGAGTGTGGTTCAGTAAGTAAGCAGGATGAGAGCTTGTGCAAAAGCAGTAATCACAGGGACAGTGCCCAGGAAGGCTGATCTGAGGGACTGTTCAGTCAAGGTAGATGATACTTTATATCAAGTGCAGTAGTCTGCTCCTTTAGTATGATCAAGGGTAAAGAAAAGCACTCCACTGCAATTCTTGCTGGGTTTTCAAGGCTTAGGAGGCCTCCTACATGTGCAAATCTGCTAGGTGCGTTAGGGTTTCTTCCAGATTGTGAGACTTGTTCCCTGTTCTTTATAGAGTTTTCAGTGCAGTCTAAGCATGTGAGCTTTATACCAAGATAGTGGTGTTTGAATCTTAGACAAGAGGAGCTTAATCTCTATTCTCACAAGTGAATGTGAGTTCTGCAAATTCTGTGAGTGAATCCTGGCCACCCAAGTATAGGGGCAGCTTTCAGAAGACATGGTCTTTTAAGGTATTGTCCTTCATAGTAGCAACCAGATCTTATAAAGGCGCTACAGAGACTTTATCTGAGCACCTTCACTGTCACTGGGCCCAGGCAGAGGTGGGGTGTGGAATCTGACATCCTGAGATCAGCTTTATTTGATCTGTTCGGATTTTCTAATACTCACAAATATCTGAAAGCCTGTGAAGCCTGTATGTTTCGAAATGGAAATATCAGGGAATTATAGCGAGTGAGAAAAGAACAATATTAAAAGGATACCTGGTGCATGATTGATTCCCTTTACAACATTCCTGAGCTAACAGAGATGGAGAGCAAATGTGTGGTTGCCCAGGGTTAGGGATGCGGGGGTGGATGATACGAAAATGGTGGCACAAGGGTCCCCTGTGGTGGTGCAGGTAATTGTGGCAGTGCTTAGCTGAACCAGCTCATTTGACAGTGGTGCTATGGTTTGGGTATAGTTATGTCAGAAGTTTGGCCCCAGCGTGGCAGCGTTGAGAACCAGCAGAAAGTGATGAGGTCATGGGGCCCTGCTCTCAAGAGTGGATTTCATGCCCCAAGTATTTGCATACAAACATTAGTAAGTTTTGACTACATTTTGCTCTACTTGGAAAGCACTTAGGGTGTATGTTAGCCCCATAGAAGCTTCGAACCATTGCTCCCAAGCTGCCTATTACGTGTTACAGGAGTGGGCCATCACTGGAAGCCATGTTGACTTTCTGGTGATGAAAATGCTTCACCCTGACGGATCTGTGTTGTATATGGTTTGAGGATAGTGATGAGGTTGCTACCAAATGTTGTTCCTGCTTTGGACAGTGAGAGAGTAATTCTGGGAGGGAATGGAGTCAAAGCCAAGATGACCAGCTTTGGCAGTATGATTAAGGTTCTCATCTGCACATGGCAGCTTCCCGCTATATTGTCATTTGTTCTCTGTCTTTGGGGCAGTCTGCCTGGTTTTATTTGGTTCCATTGTACAAAGTGGCTGAGACCATGAGTTAGGAATACTAGGTAGCTCCTATTTGGGAGTTTCCCCTCAAAAGAGAGATTACAGTGACCTGAACTCCCTGGAGTAAGTGGATTTTCCTTTGAAAGAACTCCCTAGAAGGGCACAGGTGGGTTTTTACTGGACTCTCAGATGACACTTGGGGCTTACTGGGGCTAAAGATGACTCTCAAAGGAATTAAATAGCAGTGATCTCTGTCTTGTCTCCACAAGGTCAGGGATGTTGGAAGCAGGAGTGGACAGGATTATATCTCAGGTGGTGGATCCAAAACTAAACCACATCTTCAGGCCGCAGATAGAACGAGCAATTCATGAGTTCCTGGCAGCCAAGAAGAAAGAAGCTGTGCCAGCGCCCCCTCCAGAGCCTGAAAGCCAGGACCCCCCGGCTCTGTCCCAAGATACTTCCTAAGGTCTGGTGTCCCGTCTTCTGTCTGGGAGCATTTGTCTCTTACTTATAGATGTAAAAAATGGTTAGGAAAGAGATGGGCTATCATTGGGGATCTTACTTAGTATCTTTTCAGAAAAGTGTTTAGCGCAGGTGGGCTTCACTTCATGTTAGGGGTCATATTTCACTGAGAACCGATGGGTAGTAGCTTCCTTCGTCACTGAGTATGATACTCTGTGCGACTGGAACTAGGCATTTGAGCTATGCATAGATGCTTCATTAGAATCCAGCTGGGATAATTGGTGTGTGCCAGAGAAATTCACATAGAAATCTTCTTTTTCTGAAATTGCTTAAGTGAGTCTCTCCCCTGGACATGAGTTAACTTGAGTTTGCAATTTTAATATAAAATCAAGCAGTGCGTTCTGACGGGATATACTAAACGGAATTCACAGTCTGCTTTGAGCTCTGATATATTTCCTTGTATTTAGTAGGGTTTCCAGTTTACCACTCTGTTCCCATGAGAGTCTTTTGTTGTCCCTTCTTTATTAAATTAGGAATTAAATTTAATTTTAAAAATCAGCAGTAGATGCCCAAATGAATGCTTTTTGCACGTTTTAGAAGACAGTAAATGTGAGCGTTGGGCTTTTTTACTTAGTCAGTGTTGACAGTCCTTGGGGTGTGTCCTAGCCCCTCATTCTGCTCTTAGTGTTTGCTTAAGCGTCTTTGAGATGTCTGCTGTTTCTAATAAAGCAGGTAAGGGAGATGAGATGACTGGGCCTTCTGAGTGTCAGCAGGCTTATGTGGGCACTCACGTAGGTGTGGGGTTGTCTTTCTCTTGGGAGAAGGACCTTGAGTCCGTCACGGAGTGTAAAACATTTATTTTTAAGTTGTTCTAGTTTAACTAAATTCCTTTAGGAACATAAAATCAAGTATTGTCTTAAAAACTAGCATTTTGATACAACTATCTTTTCTTCTTGGAATAGGCCTGACACCTTATGAAAGCTCCGTTTAATGGTGAAGAAATGGACTTGTGTTACTTAAGAGTGCCACTTCAGTCGGCCAGGGTCACCACTGATTCAAGATCTCTGCTGTGACAGTGGTGCAGCGTCCGGATTGAACAGGGAGCAAGTCTGGCCGTGAGAAAGTTGTTCATGTGCCCTGCTCTGTGCCGCCACTTGACCAGCCTGTCCACGGGTGTGACACCCAGTAGACACTACAGAATTATAAACACTACAGCAACCTAACATGATCCTGAAACAGACTTTTATACTTGAACATGGAGACTGCGCGTGGGTTTTAGGGTTTGCGCTCTGGGATAAGCAGAAGCTATAATGAAAGAGCATAGCCAGTCCCAAAGGTAGCATCAAAGAATAAGAATGGTACACCTAGCTGGGAGTAGGTATTTGAGAGTACTTGCTTGATACTGTGTCTCAGAGTTACAAAGTAGAATGTACAAGCAGATAACATTGATAGCCTTAAAATTGTTGTGACCTTCATGTACATGAATCTTCTAGCGCATTGCTTTTCCCTTGTCAGAGGTGACAAAACGAGCAGCTGTTGAGTGATAAGGAAGCCAGACATTAGGTAGAACCACTTTCAGGCTCTTTGTCCAAGGCGTTTTTGTGTCCTGCAAAGGCTAGTGAGTCTTAGAACTTTCCTGTTCTCACGGTTGCATTTTTTAGAAAAGTGAATGATGAATAAATGGTGTTTTGTAATAAAATCCTTTGATGCTCCTACTTTGCCGCTTCACCTGAATGTTAGATCCCAGGTCTGTGAACGGGTACATTTTTCCTCTGCCATTTTTTTTGCATAACACATGACTGGCAGCAAAGGATCGGTGGCTATGACCACTCTCTCTCTCGTTGGCAGATGTAGCTAGTCAAGGGCAGGTGGTTTCTTTCCTCTCTGAATCAGTGCTGGTGCTGGTCACTTGAGGGCAGTGCATCCTGCCAGTGTTTCTCAGCCTGGGGAGTGCAGAAGTACCCCGGGGATCTTGGGAAGTAGGTATTCTAGTTCGGAAGCTCTGAGGTGGGATCTGCACATCTGTGTTTCTAGCAAGTCGGTGTTAAGCTGTGCCCCTGGGCCTTGAAACACACTTTGTACAACAAGCCTTCAGTGATGTCAGAGATTAGTTCAGACCAGAAATTCTGGGTTTTAAGTTGAGCCTACTACTGGGTATTACTAATCAGACTTTTTTGTTGATGGTACTGGGAGCTAAACATGCCAGGTACTAGGGCCTTGCACATGCTAATAAGTACTTGCTCTACCATGAGCTAATAGGCTACATGTCCAGCCGTGATCTGACCATTTATAACCATTTCATCTGGTTCCATGTTCAAATGAATGTTCTACTTGCTCGTTAACCTTAAATACCCCTAAACATGACTGCACTGCCAAGATTGTAGCAAGATCTTCTTGTACATGGAATAGCATTTTAAACTGGCCTCAGTTCGGTGGGGGGCAAGTCCATCTGAAGGATGGGCTGTTTCCTACCTCGTAGTGGGCACAGTTCTGTTTCCAGGAATGTATAGGATTCAGCAGCTGGAGTTCTCAGCCAAGGAAGTTGCCCTCCAGCCCTCTTCACACAGCTGCTAATAAACGACCCACGGCTGGGTCGGCCAGTCCTGTGTTTTGCAGAGAAACTGCTCAGGCTGACCGAATGCCTATTTTCTCCCACACTTTCCCTGGGAAGCATCTTTCCAAGAGGGCGAGCTCTATACAACCCCTACCCAAGGACCCTCCCAGCATCTTGTCTATCCAGCAGTGACCCAGTTCAACCAGAAAGAGCACAGAATCCATAAGCTCAGGCAAAATGTTTCTTCTGCCCACATATGTTCAACTGACTATATGTTGTATATATTCAAACAGTTTTTAGCCTGTCTCAGTTCTTTTTGTTTTTTCTATTAACTAAAGAAAGCTGGACCTGCTGATGAGAAGCACCCTAGATTTCTTTGACTTAAATATGTCAAGATATCAGTTACTTTATCATCATGTTATATCTACAAAGAGTCATCTAGGCGAAAGATTTTATTTTTAAAAAATGAGGCAAAACATTATCAGACTAGGACTGTAACTGTAGACCTATCAGTCCTGTTGACAAAAGACTAGCTTTTGGGCTCTTTGCCCAGTCAAATCAGAGGGGGGAAAATGCTTGTATTCCCATTGCCATATGGATTCAGATGGGCAGGAGCTGGAGGGCCAGTCAAGACCAACAGCCCTAGAAGGATTGGGGACAAGAAAACCAGTCTCTAGCTTGTCACCAGCTGGTTGCCAGGCTGATGTATTTGCACCCTCAAATGAAGCCTCATTCTTTGCGTATTGGGTTGGTTGTGCAAAACCTAGAAAAAGTGTGTATGTTCTAAGATAAAATAGAAAAGTTGCCCCCTTAGGAAGTTTAGGCCACAAAAACTACGTCATCCTTAAGTACCCTAACTGTTCATCCCTAAGCAAGAAATGAATTATCACTGACCTCAAGCCAGTTAGGCTTCTCTCCCTGTGGTTAGACACCCACCGCACTACATTCTGCAGCCCAGTAGAGCACAGCTGACATCTGTAAGACAAGAACAGATACCCACCCTGGAAAGCCACCCAAGCCTTAGGGCTAAGTCATGGGAAGGAACTCCATCCTCACTGAAGATGGGAATTGGTCGGAGGGTAGGCAGGGTGCGCTGGCCCATTTTGAAAGCCCAGTTCTTTCGCCTGGAGTAGCTTCTGCAGTTGCTGCTGGAGACCATTGTTCCTGGTCTGTTTCCAGATTAACACTTCACAAGCATTGCCAACCTGCTGTCTCAATCCAGAACCAGTTGTTTGAATTCTGGATTTTGGGTGAGATTGGTAGCTTCCAGGAGTGATGTTAGCCTTGTTTTTGTCATTTTGCCCTTCCTTCTATTCACTAGAGTCAGGGTGAGAGTTCACATTCATTCCATATCCTAGCAGTGTGAACTGGGTAAGTGTCTGTTACTGTCCTTTCTCCTGAGACAGAATTGCTAACTAAACAGTGCATGGTAGGCAGAAGACAGCAAAGCAAAGCAGCATTAGCTTCTTTTTGCCCCTTTTATATTCTGTCTGGTTTAGGGTGGATGTCAAACCAATCAGTGGCCTAGTTTAGTAATCACACACCTTTAATCCCAGCATCACACACTATCCATCCACCTCTGAGAAAGCCCCACCTATGACTGCATGAGGCTTTGGGGGGACATCTAGACCCAAAACATAGCCATTACCATGATGGTTCCATATAAACTCCCCACCCAAACAGCGTCAACATCAGCCTGAAACTAATTAAAAATATGCTTCTCTCCTGATTTCAGAAACGGTGAGGCCCACAGGCCTGGGGGACTTTCATGTGCACTAAAAGTTATTTTCATTTTATGAAACGTTATTTTAGCATTAGTAGCCTTGACTAGTAAGGATGGATTAATTATAATTAGTAGATGGCACATTCTAACAGTTGCTAGATGGTGAGATTATTGTTTCTTTTGTAATTCTCCCATAGTCTCTTGGGGAGGGGGACTGCTGTATGTATCTGGACATGCCTGCATAAAGCTTAACCTTCGTAAGGTTTCAAAACCTATAAGCAGCCTTCTGAAGATGTTTGCTAAAGTGGCTCAGAGCCTTGCCTGGAACTCTGCAGAAGGCTTTCATTAGCTGTTAAAAACCTAGCAGAGAAACGTGGGGACCCCACAAAGGCTGAGGTCTAACATAGGTCTGAGGCTGGTGCTAAGGTTTGGGTTTGAAAGTTGTGTTTAGGTGAGCACCAGCAGGGGAGCTGGCCCGCCTCCTTCAGCTGACCTATGGGTCCCGGGGACATGGGAGGGGAGCAGACGGGAGAGCTGGCATGGCTAAGCTTTCATTGGCACTGACTTTGTATCTTGTCCATCACCTCATCTAAGGAGGAGCCAGGAGGTCAACTTTTATGGTCTTGTCACCAGGTTTGGGCTGGCCTCCAAGGCCACAGGGTAGTAAACACTGCTTCCCTCAAACCAGTCACACCACCGAGACCTCATCAGTCCTGCTGACTCCAGGCTCCAGACTGCCATTTGGCCACCCTTCCTGAAACCCTGCTCTTGTCAAGTAGCTTCCTTACGCAGGAACCTTCCAAAGGCCTGCACTTGGGTTGGGGGCCCAGCAAGGCCTCCAGGTGACTTTAATGCACACTAAAAACCATTTCATGTTAAAACGGCTTTTTGAAAAGCTGTCTTAAATCCTTTCCAAGCGCAGGCATTTTCTTATGTGTAAATTAATTTTCATGACCCTGTCAGGATTTAGTCTCTGTTTTATGTATGAGGAAATCAAGACAGGCAAAGAATCCTACTCCTGACTACTCTCTTGAGAAGCAAGGATTTCACCCCAGGCCTGTGATTCCCACCCCTCCACCCCACCTCCCTTTGCCACGCTGCCTCCCTATTTGCTACAACTTGAGCAGGTCGTCTGGGCTCCGCCCTTCATCCAAATCTAGGCCAGCATTTACTCAACAAGGCCTCCTGCTGTATCTCCGCACCGGCTTGGCTCCAGCCAGCCCCTGCTCCCCTCAGTCAAATGGTTATCACAGGGCAGTTTACAAACCAGCAAGACTGGTCTGCTCTGCCTTGTACTCATGTTCCGTTAGCCCTGGAGTTGTCTATTTTACTTCCAATTAATTGCCAATATTTTAAAATAGAGATTTTAAAAGATTCTTTTAAAAAATTGTTTTAAAAGGAGATTTCCATATAGATCTGTATTCCTGGCTTCTAGAGAAAAGTGCCAAGGCCAGGCCATTGTTGCCTTGTGTTTCCACCAGGTACAATCATCTAGAACCAAGGAGCAGCCTCTGAGGACTCTGACCAACATGTGAGACACGCAGATGCCGCTCACTAACTCCCAACCCCCTGCTGGTTCCTCCGGACATCTGAGTCGGGGACCCCTGCCTTAGAGTGTCATCGTTGTGTTCCACCTAAGATTTTCAAAAACGTCTCTAGCACAGGGCCAGAATTTTTAGACTTTGATTCCCATGCTTGGGATAAGGACTAGGTTTTCAGCTCCATGAGTTTGACTCTAGAATCCCGTGAGATTGAAATGGAACTGAAAGTCACCGCAGGAGGATCACTGCAAGTTCGAGACCAGCCTGGGCTACAAAGTGAGCTCAAGGCCAGCCTGAACCACATAGGGAGACCCTGGCTCAAAAAGACAGAAAAAGAGAAAGAAATGGAACTGAAATCCCCTCTCTAAGCTCCCACTCTGGGCATCCAGGTTGAACCTATCCAAGGATGAGTGACAGTGGCAGGACTTAGGCCAAACCTATCCAAGCACGATGCAGGCCTATCCAGCCAATGCACGGAATTCATAGAAGTCTCTAGTCTGCCCCAAGTGACAGTCTGTCCCAGGGCGAAAGCCATTAGAGAGCTTGCGATGTAGCCTAATCAATATGTGTCACTAAACATTTTGTAAACGAGAGTGATCAGTTGAGGGTGGTAGAAGCTAACCAATGATCGGTGAGGCTGAACAAAGCAGTTCACGCTACATTCTTGTAGCAGCATTCCGGTCTCAGAGGTGGATCTGCTGGGGAGCTGGTGGGGGTTGTCATAGTCCCCATGGCCTGGGGTCTGACCTGGATGGCAATCTCCCAGCAGTCCAGCCAGCCAGCTCATGGAACTTGCTGGGTAAAGGCTCAGGATCTGAATCCTATCATTTCTGCTCTGGGACAGCATTTGTCACAATACATTTACATTTGTTCTGCAGTGATGATAAAAGATATAGT